TGTAAAGAATTGTGTTTCTCTTTACTTCAACTAAACATCATTTCTATGAATTGGTAGACCAATGTTTTGTTTGTTTAAACAAAACCAGAAATGCAAATCAGTTGCAAATACCAGTCATCTGCACTTTTTTCACAGGATGCAATACAGCAGAGAGCCTTTGAATGTGCCAGGCTAATTAAAAGAATAGCACTCAAAACAAAAAACAAAATACCAGCAGCTGAAACCACAAAAGAGGGATTGCATCACCTCAGTGACAGCAACACAACAGATAGAGAAATGGGAAGGCAGTTGATTTACCTTAGAGGGGAACAAAATCAAAAGCACATCCACCTCTGTTTTTTAAACAAGCCTTGGCCTGGAGTATTGCCTTTCCTGCAAAAGCAAATGGGGGGAGGGCATGATGGACCATTTTCATGCACGGCTAATGGGGCGCTGTTGAAATGCTGCTCTGAGGAAAATAACAAGCTGGCCTTCCTTTGGGGCATGGAAATAATTGTCAGTCCCAATAATTTGGCCTCTATAAGTCAACCCTTCTCTCTCTCACACACACACACACACACACGTCCCGTGCACATACAAGCAACCCTCCAATGGGTTTTTTTTTTCATGTTAGGAGTGACTTGAGAAATTGAAAGTCTCTTCTGGTGTGAGAGAACTGGCCATCTGCAAGGACGTTGCCCAGGGGATGCCTGGATGTTTTGATGTTTTTACCATCCTTGTAGAAGGCTTCTCTCATGTCCCCGCATGAGGAGCTGGAGCTGATAGAGGGAGCTCATCCACGCTCTCCCCAGATTCGAACCTGCGACCTGTTGGTCTTCAGTCTTGCTGGTACAAGGGTTTAACCCATTGTGCCACTGGGGGCTCCTATAAGTCTAAATGACAAATAGCAACAGCAAGAGGAGGAAGAATGCTGTCCACTCTTCGGCCCCTTCGACATAGCTGAAAAATATCCCATGTTATCTACTTTGAACTGGAATATATGGCCATGTGGACTCAGATATCCGAGTTCAAAGCAGATATTGTGGGGTTTTTGGCCTCGATGTTCTGGGTTGTATGGCTGTGTGGAAGGGCCCTACATTACTAATAGCAACAGCAAGAACAGGAAGAATGCTATCCAGTCTTTGGCCCCTTCCACATAGCTGAATACAATCCCACATGTACAAAATCCACATTGAACTGGCAGTGTGGACTCAGATATCCCAGTCCAAAGCAGATATTGTGGGATTTTCTGCCTTGATATTCTCGGTTATATGGCTGTGTGGAAGGTCCCTCTGATAACTGAGTTCAAAGCATATATTGTGGGGTTTTCTGCCTTGATGTCCTGGGTTATATGGCTGTGTGGAAGGGCCTACATTACTAATAGCAACAGCAAGAAGAGGAAGAATGCTGTCTGGCCCCTTCCACATAGCTGAATACAATCCCACATGTATAAAATCCACAATGAACTGACAGTGTGGACTCAGATATCCCAGTTCAAAGCTGATATTGTGGGATTTTCTGCCTTGATATTCTGGGTTACGTGGCTGTGTGGAAGGACCCTCTGATAACCGAGTTCAAAGCTGATATTGTGGGATTTTCTTCCTTAATATTCTGGGTTATGTGGCTATGTGGAAGGACCCTCTGACAACTGAGTTCAAAGCAGATATTGTGGGATTTTCTGACTTGATAGTCTCGGTTATGTGGCTGCATGGAAGGGCCCTCTGATAACCAAATTCAAAGCAGATATTGTGGGTGTTTTGGCCTCGATGTTCTGGGTTATATGGCTGTGTGGAAGGGCCCTACATTACTAATAGCAACAGCAAGAAGAAGAAGAACACTGTACAGTCTTTGGCCCCTTCCACATAACTTAATACAATCCCACATGTATAAAATCCGCACTGAACTGGCAGTGTGGACTCAGATATCCCAGTTCAAAGATATATTGTGGGATTTTCTGCCTTGATATTCTGGGTTATGTGGCTGCGTGGAAGGACCCTCTGATAACCGAGTTCAAAACTGATATTGTGGGATTTTCTGCCTCGATATTCTGGGTTATATGGCTGTGTGGAAGGACCCTCTGATAACCGAGTTCAAAGCAGATATTGTGGGATTTTCTGCCTCGATGTTCTGGGTTATATGGCTGTATGGAAGGACCCTCTGATAACTGAGTTCAAAGCTGATATTGTGGGATTTTCTGCCTTGATATTCTGGGTTATGTGGCTGTGTGATAGGACCCTCCGGTAACCGAGTTCAAAGCAGATATTGTGAGGTTTTCTGCCTTGATATTATCGGTTATGTGGCTGTGTGGAAGGGCCCTCCGATAACCGAGTTCAAAGCAGATATTGTGGGGGTTTTGTTCTGGGTTATATGGCTGTGTAGAAGTACCCTCTGATAACCGAGTTCAAAGCAGATATTGTGGGGTTTTCTGCCTTGATATTCTCGGTTATATGGCTATGCTGAAGGACCTCTTATAACTGAGTTCAAAGCTGATTTTGTGGAATTTTCTACCTTGAAGTTCTGGGTTATATGGCTGTGTGGAAGGGCCCTACAAGACTAATATCAACATCAAGAAGAGAAAGAATGCTGTCCACTCTTTGGCCCCTTCCATATAGCTAAATACAATCACACATGTACAAACTCCACATTGAACTGGCAGTGTGGACTCAGATATCCCAGTTCAAAGCAGATATTGTGGGATTTTCTGCCTATGTGTTCTGGGTTATGTGGCTGTGTGGAAGGGCCCTCTGATAACGGAGTTCAAAGTTGACATTGTGGGATTTTCTGCCTTGATATTCTGGGTTATGTGGCTGTGTGGAAGGACCCTCTGACAACCAAATTCAAAGCTGATATTGTGGGATTTTCTGCCTTGATATTCTGGGTTATGTGGCTGTGTGGAAGGACCCTCTGACAACCGAATTCAAAGCTGATATTGTGGGATTTTCTGCCTCAATGTTCTGGGTTATGTGGCTGTGTGGAAGGGCCCTACATTACTAATATCAGCAACAAGAAGAGGAAGAATGCTGTCCACTCTGTGGCCCCTTCCACAGGGAAAGGCAGATATTATGGGATTTTCTGTCTTGAGGTTCTGGGTTATATGGCTGTGTGGAAGGACCCTCTGATAACCGAGTTCAAAGCTGATATTATGGGATTTTCTGTCTTGATGTTCTGGGTTATATGGCTGCATGGATGGACCCTCTGATAACGGAGTTCAAAGCTGATATTGTGGGATTTTCTGCCTCAATGTTTTGGGTTATGTGGCTGTGTGGAAGGAGCCTCTGATAACTAAATTCAAAGCAGATATTGTGGGATTTTCTGCCTTGATATTCTGGGTTATGTGGCTGTGTGGAAGGACCCTCTGACAACCGAATTCAAAGCTGATATTGTGGGATTTTCTGCCTCGATATTCTGGGTTATGTGGCTGTGTGGAAGGCCCCTCTGACAACCGAATTCAAAGCTGATATTGTGGGATTTTCTGCCTCGATGTTCTGGGTTATGTGGCTGCGTGGAAGGGCCCTAAATTACTAATAGCAACAGCAAGAAAAGGAAGAATGCTGTCCACTCTGTGGCCCTTCCCACATAGCTAAATACAATACCACATGTATAAAATCCACATTGAACTGGGAGTGTGGACTCAGATATCTCAGTTCAAAGCAGATATTGTGGGGTTTTCTGCCTTGATATTCTGGGTTATGTGGCTGCGTGGAAGGACCCTCTGATAACGGAGTTCAAAACACATATTGTGGGATTTTCTGCCTTGATATTCTGGGTTATGTGGCTGTGTGGAAGGACCCTCTGACAACCGAATTCAAAGCTGATATTGTGGGATTTTCTGCCTCGATGTTCTGGGTTATGTGGCTGTGTGGAAGGACCCTCTGATTACCGAATTCAAAGCTGATATTGTGGGATTTTCTGCCTCGATGTTCTGGGTTATGTGGCTGTGTGGAAGTATCCTCTGATAAACGAGTTCAAAGCAGATATTGTGGGGTTTTCTGCCTTGATATTCTGGGTTATATGGCTGTGTGGAAGGACCCTCTGACAACCGAATTCAAAGCTGATATTGTGGGATTTTCTGGGTTATGTGGCTGCGTGGAAGGGCCCTACATTACTAATAGCAACAGCAAGAAGAGGAAGACCGCTGTCCATTCTTCCTGGATGATTACCAAGCCAAGCGGATGCCTTCTGTGGCTTGTGGATATTCCCCTGACCCTCCCTTGCCTCATCTTCCATTGAGAATTCCTACTGAGCGGAACTGTCAATCCTTCCTCCCTCTTTCTCCGTGTGCAGAGATAACAGCCTCTTGTCTTTGCAACTGGAGATCTAAGCATCTGGGAGACGTAACCTTTGTGGGAAAGGGGGGGGTAAGCGGCGCGGTTGCTATGGGCGACACTGAATCCCAGCCTGCTAATGAGACACCCATGGCCAGGTAGGGCCAAGGCTGGAGAGCTGTCATGGCGGGGAGGCTCCTCGCGGAAGCAAACCGATGCGCGCCTTGGGCAAGAAAGGCATCCATTCGCTCTGTCACTGAGGAAATGGCGCGGGAGGGGAGGGGGAGAGGGGGAGAGGAGGAGAGGCCCCTGCCTTCCTTGCTTTCCCTGCGCCAGGGGAGGGAGGGAGGGAGGGAGGGAGGGAAGGAGGGGGGCGCGCTGCATTTCTTCAGCCGAAAGATGGAAGCTCGCTGCTTACCTGGAAGCGGGAAAGGGAGCGCCTCGGCTCCCTCATGGAGGATGTGCGCCTGCCCTGCATCCTAGAGGCCTGCCATCACCTGCCAGGCGAGAGGGAAAGGCGGCTGCTGCAGCAGCGAAAAGAGGAGGAGGAGGAAGAGGAGGAGGGGGAGGTAGTATGGCTCAGCCCAGCGCAGAAGGACCGCCATCGCCCTCCCTCCGCCGTCCAGACGCCCCACGAGCCTCTGAGCACAAGCTGAAGAGGAGGGAGGGTTACACACAACAGATGAGGGAGAGAGGGAGGCGCGAGGGAGGGGCGCGCGAGGGAAGGGGCGCGCGACACAAGTCTTCCTTGCTTACCTCTGAGGATGGAGTCCCGCAGCGCCGCCCAGGCCCGGTCCAGAAGGAGGCCGCGCGCCCACCCTTCCCGCGCGCGCGCCCCGACAGCCAGCCTTGCGCCCCTGACGCGCGCGCCCCACGCCGCTGCGGCTGCGCCTCACTCAGTGCCCACCGCTGTTGCTGAGACCGCTGCGCCGCCGCTGCCGCCGGCCCGGGCAAAGGCAGACCCCGGCCCACCACGCCGACGCCGGCGCCTCCATCCCTTGGAGCCGGCGGCAGGCTCGGGAACCTGAGGCGGCGGCGGCGTCTTTCTTCCGCTCGCGCCAAAAGGGGGGAAGCCAGAAGCGCCGCTCTCTCTCAACGCTCCCCGAGGACCGCGCCGCGATGCCCTCAGCGCAGGGGCAGAGGCGCCTGAAGTCCCGGATCTGGAACAATTGGGGGGCGCGAGCTCCTCCTACCGCCTGGAATCGAGAGAGGGAGAGGGAAGCGGAGAGGGCGAGGCGACGGAGCATGCGCACTCGGCGCGGCGGGGGGCTTCGTCTACCTCGGCTGCGTTGCCCAGGGAGATGGCTCGGCTTGGCTTGCCTCAATTTCAACCTGCCTGGCCAAACGAAGGCCCCTTCCGCACAGCCATAGAACCTAGAATATCAAGGCAGAAAATCCCACAATAACTGCATTGAACTGGAATATAGGGCAGTGTGGGCTCAGATATTTATTTATTTACTACATTATTTATTCATGTACTAGCCGTCCCCTGCCACCCGTTGCTGTGGCCCACATGGGGGTTCTGTGTGGGAGGTTTGGCCCAATTCAATCGTTGATGGGGTTCAGAATGCTCTGTAATTGTAGGTGAACTATAAATCCCAGCAACTTCAACTCCCAAATGTCAAGATTCAATTTTCCCCAAACTCTAGCAGTGTTCACATTTGGGCATATTAAGTATTCTTGTAGAGTGAGAGGAAGCCACAGGGAGGAGGGAGCAAGCTTGTTTTCTGCTTCCTTGGAGACTAGGATGCGGAACAATGGCTTCAAACTACAAGAGAGGAGATTCCATCTGAACATTAGGAAGAACTTCCTGACTGTGAGAGCCGTTCAGCAGTGGAACTCTCTGCCCCGGAGTGTGGTGGAGGCTCCTTCTTTGGAAGCTTTTAAGCAGAGGCTGGATGGCCATCTGTCAGGGGTGATTTGAATGCAATATTCCTGCTTCTTGGCAGGGGGTTGGACTGGATGGCCCATGAGGTCTCTTCCAACTCTTTGATTCTATGATTCTATGAGTTTGATCCAGATCCATCATTGTTTTAGTCCACAGTGATCTCTGGATGTAGGTGAACTACAACTCCAAAACCAAAGGACACTGCTCACCAAACCCTTCCAGCATTTTCTGTTGGTCATGTTTGGTTCAATTCCATCATTGGTGGGGTTCAGAATGTTCTTTGATTGTAGGTGAACTATACATCCCAGCAACTACAACTCCCATATGACAAAATCATTTTTTTTAGTGAAGGACATACATTGGGTTGTTAGGTATATTGTGTCCAAATTTGGCGCCAATTCGTCCAGGGATTTTTGAGTTTTGTGAATATCACAAACGAACATTACATTTTTATGTACCATATATTCCGGCATATAAGACGACTGGGGGTATAAGACGACTCCCAACTTTTCCAGTTAAAATATAGAGTTAAGACGACAGCCATGCATAAGACTACACCCGCATATAAGACGACCCCTGACTTTTGAGAAGATTTTCTTGGGTTAAAAAGTAGTCTTATACGCCAGAATATACTGTATATAGTAGGGCTGTCCAACCACGGAAAAATTTGTTTCTAAACTCAATTCGTTTTTAGGGGGTTTTTGCGTTTCGTTATTTAAAAGAATTCCGAAATTTTTCTTTTAAAAAGTTCGATATTTACGAAATTAGAAACAATTTCGAAACAATAACGAATCGATTCGTTAATGGCGGACGCGATTGCGCAATACGCTAAAAAACCCTCCAAATGGGACAGGGGGAACTTCTGAAGCTTCCCTCTCCCTCTGTTGTTGACTGTTGGTGTGATAATTTTTTTTTATCACTGATAAAACAAAAAACAACTATAAAACTTGCACCAGACATACGGAAATAATAACGAAATAATAAAGAAACAGTTTCGAAACAATTATGAAACAATTTCGAAACAATAACGAAACGAATTGGAAAAATTCGTTTCGTTTTTTAGTTGCTCCTGAATGGTTCAATATCGCTTCGTTATAAAAAAAATAACGAATTAATAACGAATTACGAAATTAACGAACGAAACTGCCCAGCCCTAGTATATAGATTTATTTATCAATCAATTTTATATACTGCCACTCCCCGAAGGCTTGGAGCAGTTTACAATATACATATGCGATACATTACATTTAAAATCAAAGCAAAATTTCAATCAGCAAGATTCAAATGTCACCCTAAATAAATAGGTTTTACAAGCTCTACGAAAAGATAGTAAGTCTCGGAGAGCTCGTGTTTCCGCTGGCAAGGCATTCCACAGGTAAGGAGCCACCACCGTGAATGCTCTACACCAGGGGTCCTCAAACTAAGGCCAGAGGGCCGGATACGGCCCTCCAAGGTCATTTACCTGGCCCTTGCTCAGGGTCAACCTAAATCTGAAATGACTTTAAAGCACACAACAACAACTACAATCCTATCTCATCAGCCAAAAGCAGGCCCACACTTCCCATTGAAATACTAATAAGTTTATATTTGTTAAAATTGTTCTTCATTTTAATTATTGTATTGTTTTTAAGTGTTTTTTGCACTGCAAATAAGATAGGTGCAGTGTGCATAGGAATTCATTCATGTTTTTTTCAAATTATAATTCGGCTCTCCAACTGTTTGAGGGACTATGACCTGGCCCTCTGTTTAAAAAGTTTGAGGACATCTGCTCTACGCCTAGTAGACATCAGGTGAAAGGTCCTAAAATTGGGAACTTCAAGGAGATTCTGATCGTCTGAACGGAGTGATCTCGGGGGTGAGGCGGTTCCTCAGGTACTCTGGCCCCAGGCCATATAAGGCCTTAAAGGTAAGAATCAGCACTTTGAAGATAATCCGGTGTTCAATTGGTTGCTGCAAGATTGGAGTGATATGACACCTCGCTGGGACCCCTGCGAGAAGCCGGGCAGCACCATTTTGCACTAGTTTAGTCCAACCTTGAGATGACTGTAGCCTGGATCACCGTGTCCAGGTCGTCCCTGGACAGATAGGGAGCCAGACGCCTAGCCTGACACAGATGGAAAAATGTGACTCTGCTCATGGCAGAGGCCTGGGCCTCCATCGTCAGCAGAGGGTCTAAAAGGACTCCCAGACTCTTTATTTATTTATTTATTTATTTATTTACAGCTTTTATATTCCGCCCTTCTCACCTCGCAGGGGACTCAGGGCGGATTACAGTGTACACATATATGGCAAACATCCAATGCCAATTTTTGAAATACAAACATATACAGACATAGACAGAGGCTATTTAACTTTTTCTGGCCAGCAGGGGAGCTGTCGCTTTCCTCGTCCATCTGCGACGCCAATGAAGAACTTCCCCGCATGGTTCTCCACTGGAATGCTTTGCTGGAGTCTTCTTTATGGCCTCATAAATCAGTTAATTTAGCCTCCCCACACTTTAAGGTGGTACCTTATTTTCCTACTTAACAGATGCAACTGTCTTTCGGGTTGCAAAGGTCGACAACAGGCTACATACAATTGGTTGGAAACCCATTCCAACCCCGCGCTGGCTTCGAACTCATGGCCTTTTGGTCAGAGTGATCTTAATGCAGCTGACACTCAGCCAGCTGCGCCACAATCCCGGTGCATAGACAAATTTTGGCCCTCCAGGTATTTGGGACTTCCTACTGGCTGTTTGGAATTGTAGGAGTTGAAGTCCAAAACAGATGGAGGACCGAAGTTGTCCCATGCCATCTATATATATAAATCTGTTAGGTTGGTTCAACCGGACAGCAAAACTCCAACCCCAACGAAACTTAACCAAAATTGCCATGCCCATAACACAACCCACAAGGTACAAACATATCTACTCAAAATGAAAAACAACACAACAACACACTCACAAAACGGCAAATCAACAAAACTCACAAACCCCCCAACGAAACTTAACCAAAATTCCCATGCCCATAACACAACCCATAAGGTACAAACATATCTACTCAAAATGAAAAACAACACAACAACACACTCACAAAACGGCAAAACAACTGAGCATGCGCATTGGTGCCCAGCCGCAAGTTCCCTGGCGCGCGCACACAGTTCCCTCTGCGGAAGCCATGCCCACTCCAAGCCCCGCCGCGCCGCTTCCCGCACACACACCCCCCTGCCGCACGCACACACACAACCCCACGCTCCATCACTCCCCCCGCCGCACACACACACGCAACCCCACGCTCCATCACTCCCCCCACCGCCACACACACACGCGCAACCCCACTCCCCCCCGCTGCCACACACACACACGCAACCCCACGCTCCATCACTCCCCCCACCGCCACACACACACGCGCAACCCCACTCCCCCCGCTGCCGCACACACACACGCAACCCCACGCTCCATCACTCCCCCCGCTGCCGCACACACACACACAACCCCACGCTCCATCACTCCCTGCCCCAATCTTACCTCCTTTTACTTCACGCCACCTCCAAACCCCACCCCGCCCCTTCCCCCCCTGTCAAAATCCAGGAAAGACAGGAAGGAAGGAAAGAAGGAAGAAAGAGAAAGGGAGATAAAGAAAAGGGGGGAAGGAAGGAAAGTTAGAGAAAGAAGGAAGAAGAAAAGGAAAGAAAAGGAAAGATGGAAGGAAAGAAAAGAGAGACAGCAGAAGAAAGAAAAAGGGGGAAGGAAGGAAAGAGGTAGAGAAGGAAGAAATGAGAGACAGAGGGAGGGAAAGAAAAAGGAGTAAGGAAGGAAGGAGAGAAAGAAAGAAAAAAGGGAATGAAAGAAGGAAAGAGGGAGTGAAGGAAGGGGGAAGATGTAGAGAAAGAGGGAGGGAAGGAAAGAAGGAAAGAGAGAAGGAAGAAAAGAGACCAGAAGAGAAAGAAAAAGGGGGAAGGAAGGAAAGAGAGAAGGAAGAGGAGAAGGAAAGAGGGAGTGAAGGAAGGGGAAGATGTAGAGAAGGGAGGGAAGGAAAGAAGGAAAGAGAGAAGAAGAAAAGAGAGACAGCAAGAGAAAGAAAAGGGGGAAGGAAGGAGGAAAGGAGAGAAGGAAAGAAAGGGAAGAAGGAAGGAAAGAGGAGTGAAGGAAGGGGGAAGATGTAGAGAAAGAGGAGGGAAGGAAAGAAGGAAAGAGAGAAGGAAGAAAAGAGACCAGAAGAGAAAGAAAAAGGGGGAAGGAAGGAAAGAGAGAGAGAAGGAAGAGGAGAAGGAAAGATGGGAGGGAAGGAAGGAAGGAGGGAAAGAAGGAGAGAAAGAGGGAAGGTTGGCCACAGCAACACGTGGCGGGTAAAGGTT